TAAGGAATATGGGAAGGTCTTTAGTCATGATTCACACATTGATGAATGTGAGAAGATACATACAGGTGAGAAAACCCATGAACGTAATGAACGTTGGAACACCTTTGATGTAGATGATCCACATCCTCTACAACTGAATATACATACTGGTATGAAATCTTGTAAAAGTATGGAATGTGAAAATATATTTAATTTTTATGAAGACCTTAGCGTCCACGAGAAAACTCATAAGGATGAAATGTGCTGTAAATATAAGGAACACGGAAGGACCTTTTCAGTAGTTGGAGAAATGACTTCACTTCAGAAAATTCATGCTGGTGAGAAATCCTATGAATGCATGGTCTGTGGGAAATTGTTTAGAGTGCATGCACAACTTATCCGACATCAGAAAATCCATACTGATGACAAACCCTACAAATGTTTGGACTGTGGTAAGGACTTTAGATTTCATTCACAGCTAACTGAACATCAGAGAATTCATACTGGTGAAAAACCCTATAAATGTGTGGTATGTGAGAAGGTCTTTAGAATTAGTTCACAACTTATCGAACATCAGCGAATTCATACTGGTGAGAAACCTTATGTGTGTAAGGAATGTGGGAAGGCTTTTGGAGTCTGTAGAGAACTTGCTCGACATCAGAGAATCCATACTGGTAAGAAACCCTATCAGTGCAAAGCATGTGGAAAGGTCTTTAGAAATAGTTCATCCCTGAGTAGACATCAGAGAATTCATACTGGTGAGAAGCCCTATAAATGTAAGGAATGTGGGAAAGCTTTTGGGGTAGGTAGTGAACTTACCCGACATCACAGAATTCATAGTGGTCAAAAACCTTATGAATGTAAGGAATGTGGGAAGTTCTTTAGACTTACATCAGCCCTTATTCAACATCAGAGAATTCATAGTGGGGAGAAACCCTATGAATGTAAGGCATGTGGGAAGGCCTTTAGACACAGTTCAGCCCTTACTGAACATCAGAGAATTCACACTGGAGAGAAACCGTATGAATGTAAGGCATGTGGGAAGGCCTTTAGACATAGTTCATCCTTTACAAAGCATCAGAGAATTCACACTGGTGAGAAACCCTATGAATGTAAAGAATGTGGGAAGGCCTTTAGTTTGGGTAGGCACCTTACATAACATCAGAAAATTCGTACTGGTGAGAAGTCATTTGAATGAAAGGAATGTGTAAATGCCTTTTCTCATTTTCCACTGGAGAAAATTGTGTATTTAACAAGAATTAATCCAGGATATTCAGTCTCTCCATCTTTTAAAAAATATTTCCACACTTTATGGCTACTCTGCATTTGAAAGGAGAATTTCTTAGTCATAGGTTATATATACATTAAGCTTTGTTAGATGTTGCCAAGTATTTCTCCTTTCGTATCAGTTTATGTGCTTAGTGTTCATTGACAGATGAGGGTCTCTGTTAGTCAATATTTGAAATATGTGGGATGTCTGTTCCCCTAATTACTAGTGACTTGAGTATCTTTTGATAGAATTTTCTTATCCAGGATGTTGTTTAGACTGGCTTATTGTTTGTACTTTGGTCCTATTACCTGTTCATTATTTTGGGCTCATTGATTTGTAATATTACTCAGATACATTTTTTTGCATTCTAATTCTTTGCTTGTTATATAGGATGTGCTTATCTTCCTCCAAAGCATTCTATCTGGAACTCCCAACTACATACAATATGGTTTAAGAGTCCTTTGTCCCTACATGGTGCCTGTGCAGATTTTTGTTTGTTTTCTGTTATTTTTGTTTTAATGATAGGTATGTAACCACCTTTCTCTTTTCATTGAATGGTTGGCTTCTTTTTTAATTTCTATTTTGTTTTGATAAAACCAAAACCAAGTCCACTGCCAGAGTTGATTCTGAGTCATAGTGACCCTGTATATCTACACCATGATTCTTTTAAGGAGCCTTTTCACCTCTGTTCAGTACTAGCTAGGATCCAAATGAAAGAAGCACTTTTAAATATTTGATGAAAAGTATTAAACCCAATCTGTCAGTCTCTTAAATTTGTAAAACATCTTTACACAAAGAGAAGAAATACACAACTACTGCAATTATAAGTTGATCACTGAACGTACATAAAGAGGGTTTAAACCATATTATTACCATTACTTTGATTGAGTTGTGTCTCTATTTTTACTATGACTTTTCTTTTTATTCTCCCTCAGAATTGCCTTATTTGGGTTTGAGCAGTTGAAAAATAGAATTTCTGTAGTTTTAGTAATCTCACCTGACTCCGATGAATGAAAATGAGACAATCAGAGAGAGATGATGTTCCAAATCTTAATTGTCTATCATCTCTTAGGACTGTTGACCTGGTTATGCAGTTAGTGTGACTATGAGCCACTCATTATTGGATTTTCTTATAAGAAAATTTCCCTATTATATGTGGGTACATATATGTCATTAGGTTTTAATTTTTAAAATTGGTATCTTTCCCATAATTTATATACTCATTAGAACTTTGCATGATCACCAGTAGTAATTAAGCTATTCTTTTATTGGATATATTGATTTATGTTTTCTAAATATTCCTTATTAGTATTTATTGAAATATGTAGTTTTTTAATATATGTATACCTATAGCTATTTTAAGGGAGCCTTGGTGGCACAGTGGTTAAGTGCTCAGCTACTAACCAAAAGGTTGGCAATTCAAACCCACCAGCTTATCCATAGGAGAAAGATGTGGCAGTCTGCTTCCATAAAGATTTACAGCCTTGGAAACACTATGGTCCAGTTTTACTCTGTCCTAAAGGGTTACTGTGAGTTGGAATAGACTCAGTGACAGTGGGTTTGATTTTGGTTTTTATAGCTATTTCATGTCATAAGCAGTAAGCAATGAATCTGTTTTACCTTGTTTATTAGGATGTTTGCATATTTCATATCTTTGGAATAGAGTTGAACACTATTTCCTGTGATATTATGTGACCACCACTACTACTTACTCTTGGATCCCGTTCTAACTGGTTATTTTGAGTTACCATCAGTGCTGGTTAATTTCCTTCCTCTTGGTGTAATACTGCATATTCTATACTTCTTGTGTTTCTTTTTTTTTTTTCTTTCCAGCTTAAGCAAATTCAGACAATAAGTGACCTAATCTTTAAATACAGACATAAAATTAACGACAGTATACAAAATAACCGTGGGTTTTGGCACTTCCTTTTGAAATCATCAATGAATAAAACATATCCTTATTATGGTCTCCCTTAGAGTTCTGGTGGTGTAGTGCCTAAGGCATTTGACTGCTAACCAGAAGGCTGGCAGTTCAAACTTACCAGCCGCTCCTCAGAAGGAAGATTGGGCAATCTACTTCCATAGAGATACCACCTCAGAAACCCAAGAGGGGTTGCTATGAGTCAAATCAACTCAAAAGCAGTAAGTTTTTTTTTTGTTTGTTTGTTTTATTTGCATAAAACCTACATTTTGGTCACATTACATTAGTGTTTTTCCTGCGACCTTTTTTATGAACTCATGGCTTTTCACAGACTATGCTACTCCAATAAGTCATAATGTTGTTTTTACTACTGTTTGATGATCAGATTGATAAAATGTCACTTTTTTTTTTTCCTATTATCTTCTGACCTTTCATCCCCTCTGCATTTTGCTTAGCCTACTTGGAAGCCTCCACACCCCACCACCCCACCCCACCCGCAAATACAAGAGGACGTTCCAGACCTATACTGTTTATTCCTACCCTAAACTATGGATTTAGCTGCCCACTGTAAAGGAATTGTGGTTCCACTTAAGGCAAATAGCATTAAAGAGTAAGACGTGTGATAGGACTGCACAGAGAGTCTGTGATGTAGAAACACTGCTTGTTGACTTACCTTTAAATTAATAGCAGAACTGAATAAATGTTTTCAGAATCTTATTTTTGCATTGTTTTTAAAAATGAACTTTGAAGTATGATTTACATGCAATAAAGTATATCTATTTTATTTATGAGATCTGAGTTTTAATGATTTATGTACTGTGTAACCACCTCTCCACTGTCAAGATGATGATACTTCCATCACCCCAAAATAGTCCTTCATGCTCCTTTTCAGTTATCTCCCACTTACCCCAGACAGCCACTGATTTCCTTTCTCTATATATAGATTTATTATACATCTTCTAGAATTTCATGTAAATGGGAACACTTACTATGTAATATTTTGTGTCTGCTTTGTTTTATAACATATTTTTGAGATTCACCAATGTTTTAGTTTTAGGGATTACTTTGTTCTTTTCATTATAGAGTACTATTATGTTATACAGGAGCTCCGGTAGCATAGTGCCTAAGGCAGTTGGCTGCTAACCAGAAGGCTGGTGGTTTAAATCC